TTATTATTATTATTATTATTAATAGGCCAAAGGTCAACAGCTTTGAGGATGTGGTGTCCTGCTGACGCTGAACTGCCAAGATTCCTTCCTGGAGGCAGGACCTCGACCCCAAGTCAGAGAGGGGATAAGGAGTAAAGGCATCTATTTACCTCCTGCAAATTAACTAGGACGGATCTTGAACTACTGCAGATACTTTTTTCAAAGCATATCAGTATCTTGACCTTTCCCATTGGCAGAGCTAATCAGAACCGGAAGCAGGAGCCGCTCTCTGTGTCATCTAGGGGAATGGTGGTGGCGGCGGGGGTGTCCTGGCCTCTGGGGCTTCTATCAGCATTCCTGGGCTAGCTCTCGGCCTGGCCTGGCACACAATGAATGACATTTGCATCTCTTCCCTTAAATGCCAACTTCAGGATNGCACTCTCCCGAGTGAGCCACGGGCCGGCCCTAGAAGAGCTATTTGATAGCATATGACTTGCTGTACTAAGGGGAAGCATCCCCTGCAAAATTTCTTCTACCAAATCTTACAGTGCAAAAATAACATGCAAATTATACCATGCAAAAATTCTACCAAATTTTGCTATGCAAAATTTCTTCTACTCAAAATTTCACCACTCTAATTTATGACTCTTAGATCATTATTGCTCTTTCTCTTATACATAAACACTCGTACAGATGCATACACACCACCCTCTGTAGTCCTTTGTTAATATGTAAACATTTATAGTAGTATCACCACAGCTAAAACTTAATAATAGCTAACTTCGTTGAACGCATTTTATACATTACACCATGTAATACATGGAACATCCCTGTGCAGGAGGTTTTTTTAGTCTATCTTTACAATGAGGAAACTGAGGCTCAGAGAAATTAAGAAGTCAGTGCAGCCTCTGGGGACAGTGGCTTTAATAGTGTTCCTGGTCATGCTTCATGGGACCTTGGCAAGTTACTTAACCACCCTGAGCCGGCACATTGCATGCACCAGGAGCCTCAGGTGCCTTATGCATGCAATGTGAATGCCTATTGTTTATAGCTAATAGGGGCTACACAAGGATTAAATGAGGTAATATGTGTAAAGGGCTCAGCTCCGTGCCTGGACTTAGCAAGGGCTCAGTAGTGCTCACTATGAGTGTTGTTATTATTATTATTATTATTA